CGAGTGAGTTGAAAATATATTTAGATAATTCATAGATAGATCCATCGAACAAATAGTTCTGAAATTCAAATGCAATGTTAAATTTTACAAACTTATTTTTGTCATCTAGGAGCCTTGCACTCATGAGATGCAGAACACATTGTCTGAGCAGGCAGCGATCCTGATGCGGTATCAACTTCTGAGTCTTTTTCCATCATGTCAGTTTTTTGGGGAGCGTTGTGCACTTCACAATACCAAGCAACTTTTTCCATTCTTTCATTTGAGCCTGGCTGAGACGTCGATATCTTTTTTTCACCACTGACGTTGAGAAAAGGAGCCAATTCATTTGACTTGCGTCTCAGAGATGAAAAGTACGGCCGTTTGATATTATCAGGAGTGGAGTCTGAAGTACATGACTGGAGCAGCGGCCATGGAGTCTCGGAGCAGATGGATTCCACGCCATCTGGAACAATGCAGATGAAAGGAAGGGTGATTTATTTTAAGAGTAACATTTTAGATCTCAATTTGATTGAGTCTTTCGTGAAACAAAGGTTACTTCGGGCTCAAAATTGTCATGCGCTGTAAATAATAACAAACTCGATTGTAGAGAAGTATTTACTGAAAACATATTTTTAATCATGAAGGTAGCATTCACTATACCCAGCGTTTATCTCTTAAAAGTTATTTTCTGCAATGGATGGGAAAATTGCAATAAATTTTTCAGTCATGAAACCGCACAAAAATAATAATTATTACGCAAAGAAATTTAAATTCCATCTCTTAATGGAATCAGAATAAACAGCAGATATTTTACATGCAGTAGGTTAACGGTACGTAAGTAGCATAAAGTCAGGATTTGTAATTTTATGCTTAAAACGCGATGGGCTTAACCACGTGTGCATGCTTCTGTATATACGAGAATATAAGTAGGGCTTGAAACAGGTTCCTTGACAGAGGGGAATCTGTATACTTCTGAAAAAGTTTATTGATAGAGTAGAATATCAGTTAAGGCTTATAACGGGTTCAGTCGAGTAATGCACTGGGGTCAACTTACTGCAATCAAACAGTAGTATTCAAACATTTGCAGAAATTATTTGACAAAGCGATTGTATCCATAGAGTTTTATCATATTAAGATGGGACTTAGATAATGAGCAGAGAATTGTGTAATCACTTATAAATTTTCTCTATGAAAGGCAGTCTGGGTATTGCAGTTTGATTTTCGAGTGTTCCCTTGATTTTGTATTCATTACATCGACGAAATATCTGGCGCTAGGTTTTGAATCAAATAATTTTGTTTTAAGAAATTACAACTATATATACAAGTATTGTTTTATTTTCTTGAATATAAAATTGAGATCAGATGAGATATCCATGAAATGAATAGAAGCAAAACACTGTAAGAAATTAATTTTAAATGGATCCCAAGTTAGCGTAACAACTTGAATGGTGAATGGTGATGTACATATCATGAGTTCAGTAAATAACTTTGCATTGTATTAGCTTTTCGGAATAAGTTATATATTTTTGAAGCGAATATTTCATCACAGGGAATTATATTGTGGCAAATAAAATCGCTTTAATCTTTTGTTTTATTTGAAAATGCAGCCAAATGAGCGCAGCAAAGCTTTACTTAAAATTTGAGTAATATGTAATCGAGCTGTTATCCAATGAATCTAATGAACAGAAATATGCGTATTAATAGAATAAATTCATTGCAGGATATTTTGATGAAATGACACGCAACAGTTGTCGGTATACAATTGAATAAGTTGTCAAAATAAATCTCTCTTGTGAATAACCCGGGAGGTTAAATTGAGTTTTTAGTATTCGAAACTGGCTTTCCTAAAAAAAGTAATTGCAAGCAAACAACAATGGTAATGTTAAAAATTTTTTTTATGAATACCAGGTTCTTTTTATTTAGCGCCAGAATGACTTACGTATAACATCTCGCAGTTTTAATTTGTTGTGCTGGACCTGATCATCGTCTCTATAGCCTCGAGGCGCCATGAGCGTTAGAGCGCTCAGTGGCCCTGCATGGCCAGACTTCGTCACGTCCTCGCCTGATGCATGACACAAAAAAGCGGTCACTAGAAAATAGTTACAGTTCAACTGAGCCTCTTTAGCATTAGTAAAATTTTGTCGTCAGACACATTAATCATTCTTAATGCTTATAGCGTCAAAATGTATTGTAACTGGAGTTTTTATCAGTAGACTATGGTCAATATCTGTATACCATCGACTGCTGAAAATTTTTGGTAAAAACACCGTCGATTTTACATAAAAATAAAACCTATCAGCTTGGTTAAGCTGCCACTTAGAATTCATAGGAGAACTTACCCGTGAGATCGGGGTTGGAGCGCCATAAGCATGGCCCGGCGTCGGGGTTGGAGCGCCATAAGCAAGGCACGGCGTCGGGGTTGGAGCGCCATAAGCAAGGCACGGTGCGCCCTAAGCAAGGCACGGCGTCGTGCTGGAGCGCGTGCAGCTCGCAGACGCTGGGCGCGAGTGTCGTGTGTGTGGCGGCGCTGGCCGTGTAGCGCACCTCGATGGCGTGGCCGGCTACTGAATTTATTCCCTCACAAGACAAGGATTCTTTGTATGATAAACTCTCCCTTTGCAGTCCTTCGGAAAGAGCTAGATTTTTCAAAGAAGATTTTGAAAATAATGCCATGTTTTTCAACGATTCTTCAGAAAATTGTTTATTACTAGGTGGCTCCTCTACGGAAACACTTTTTTTAGATTCTCTAGAAGGCACTTGGGAGAGGTTGGAGGAGTCTATGATTGCTGTGGTTATGACTTGTTGATGTTTTAGTTTACTTGCTGTTCCGTCGACTGACGTTGTCTTGACTTCGAGTTTCCGGCGCCTTAGAAAATAAGTTGATACTGCAATCGCCAGCAAACCTGTAGAGAAACAACAAATTCGTCCTTAAAAAATATTAACGATAAGCCACAAAAACGAAATAATTGTTAATCGTTGAGTAAATGAATAACTAAGAAAGAAAAATGTCTGAAATACTGCATTGTTAATTCAATTATTTCATGAGATTAACAGGGCGTATAGTAATGTTGTATGTATTTCATGATATTCACAGTGTGTATGTATAATTGTGTTGATAAGTAAATTAACTGGTGTGTTAACTGACGTTAGCAGTAATATAACGCCTGATCCTCGTATCCTGCGAGGATTAATTGGGAACCATAAATTTAGGAATTACTATAGGAATTGTATTAATTCTATGAATTTATCCGGGGGAAAGCAATTAAATTTGTTTTCCAGCAATGCAGAGTAGTCTTACTGATCTGGATAATCCTGAGAAGTTCCACTGCTACAGGCAACGTTATGTATTTACACACAACATCCCGAACCTGTGTTAACCTGCTCTTTGTAGAATGAATGAAGTGTATATTTTTGTGCCGGTGAATGATTTTCCGTCACGATGAATGATTTCACTGTAAATTATTACCTTACGAAAGTAAACATAAACATTGAACGATTTTAACAAATAAACAAGGTTTCATAAATCATATTCAGGCTGACCTAAGACAGTAACGAGGGAGAAGGTGAAGGCCAGCAGGACAGGCAGGCCGCCGAGGGGGAAGGCCAAGGGTCCGGCCTGCTGCTCACAGTTGTGGCCTGCGTAGCCGCTAGTGCACGAGCAGTGGTAGCCTGTGATACGGGGCGGCAAGTGTTGATGTTGAAGAACTGAAGTGACGTCCACAGTATTAACTCTATTACTTGGTAGGTAATGATGCATTGATGTAGGCAATGATGCATACTCATCAATGATGCTGCGCATTGATGAGTCTGACGTATTATTTTATGATGTAATATGAACAGCCTCTCCGATGACATCGTTGGCGCTCCAAGTATGAACGCGTTCAAGAACAGACTAGATAAAGCTATGGAAAAATATATGTTCAGATTTGAAATGCCAAGCACCTTATGGAACCCGGTGGAAGTCTAGTACTGTAGCTACTTCAAACTATCGTCAGTCATGAAAATATCCGGTCAAATGAAACGATATTAGATCTTCTGTGAACAAGGCACGAAAAGGAACAGAATCGGCGACAGGCTACATCAGGCCTACGCTTCAGCGCCGAGATCAATATGTTATGTTATATGACTTGACAGACTTGTTTTCATAAAATTCAAAATGAAATCAAACTGGGGTGTTAAAACTTGTAGGAACATCGAGAGTAGGACGATAAAAATGAGCAAAATTGATTCTGAAGATCTTTTTTTACCTGAAACTGAATTAAATATTGCATTTATTGATCAGTAGAACTATTTTCATGCACATAAAGACGAGCACTTAACACAGCTTCTTGAGAATAAAAACAGATCATTTGTATCAATGAGGAATAAATATGAGCAAATTAAACCAAAGAAGACGATTTCCGTATACCTAACAGTAACTTTCATCGTCTAATATGACAGATTTACCTAATATTAAACCTTATATGCAAAATGTAAACTTTTAAAACTGCATTTTTACGTCATGTTCGTCCTCAGGGTACAGTTGATACTGTACCATGATACATAATTGAAGAAAACTCCCCTACTGAGGGCGCACATGCACACGGCAGTCATGCAAGGGTCTTTAAAGAAAAGGTGGTTAAAAGACTTCAGGTTTGATTATTCTTTTGTGGATCACCCTCAGCCAGCCTATCATGGCTGATTGGAATATACAAGGACGCTATTGCATGAAGATATTCAGCTGGAGGTCCGTATTCTAACTCCCTCAATTTACAATGAAACTTGTGAAGAAACAGGGTATAATATCTCAAAGGAAATAGTTTCTCTTAGATTTAACAATTCATGAATTTGTGCCGTGGTTCCAGGTTTGAAGTCTATCTTTTCATGAATATACTCATTTAGACACGTCTGGTGCTTGCAAGACGGAGTGTCGTTTGGAAAGATGTACTATAGAATTAATGTTTCCATTTTAGTTCTGATGGTAAGAGTTACGCGCGCAGTTCAACAGGTGAAAGCTCATATCACCAAGTCTAGTTTGGCCGCTATAACAGCGTGGATGCCACGCCTGTAGGGATTGTCTCCACTTACGGTATTTTCATCAGTATGCGGGGAAATAATGGCTTATCTAAGGGACTTGTTGCTCCTAAAGTTGAATACTGACATGCAATCCTCATCATCCACTCTAAGACACGATTTTTTCTAAAACTGGTATTCACAGAACATTCGTCGAGTTGCACACAAATTGAAGAAACCGTTTCAAAGCGGCTTTTTTTCTGACATTCTAACAAAGCCGCACGATTTTTATTTTGGAATTTTTGGCTATCGTTTACATACTAAACCATTGACGATTCTTCCAGCAAAAGATAAATTGTCCCAAATTTCTGAAAATGATTTTTGTTGTATTCATGGTTGGTGCTATTGATCTATTTTGTTACCAGAGAGTGTTTGCCAATTCAACGTCAACATGCGACTAGAAAATGACAGTAATACTGTATGATTACAGAACATAATTTAATTTCCCGCTGAAATCTGCGTTTTAATTAAGATGAATAATTTTCGCATGATGCCCTTACCATTTTATGTACAATGGTTTTATGTAAAAATGAATTAATTTTTACAGTGAATCCGAATCCATTCATTTCTTCTGAGTAGTTAGGTGATGTGAGTCGATGTTCTAACCGTCCCTTATATCATAACAGATACTCTTGATTACCTCATTAATAGTTTAAATTTAATGCATACCAAAGATTGATTTATCATGAAAAATATAAGCGTGTTTGACTTTCATTCGATCCACTGTGATGGTTTAGGATATCCCATGCTAATAACTATTATTCGCAGCGAATCGTATTTTTAAACTCAATAAGCTTTATTTCATCATGCAAATTGGGAGTGTTTGACAGTGATAGTCAATTCTATGGTGCAAGTGATATATATAGATCCTTTCGAAACTTGGCATTCTTACAAAATTTTCGATTCGAGATAATTTGGGAAAGACATATAATAAGACATTTCCATAGTTGAAGCACCAATGCAAGAAATCAATGACTGAAATAAAATAATTAAGTAATCAATCTTAGTCTGATCAGTTGAGAAAATCTTACTGTGGGATAAAGTTTCATTACCTGGCACCGAGTTTGAGCACGAGGCGAAGTTGAGGCAAGGCTCGTAGCGACACTCGTCCACATCCAGACAGGAGGAGCCGTCGGGACTAAGCTGGAAGCCCTCGCCGCAGCTGCGGACCAGGGGGCGAAAAAACGCTTTTTAGACCACAAACCGAAGAGAGTGGCATTTCTTCCAGCCCTACTGGCGCATGCAAGCTATATTGCAGAGGTTTTTAAGAATAATTGACAACAGAAGGCATGCTGCACTGAAGTTTTGTGTGGTAAACTCCAGTGGTATTTTGTATAGAACGACACGGCGGTGTTTATTTTTACGGGGCTCGACCCTGCGTGCTCTGAGGTTTTTGTGTTGGTTTTGTTATGGCACAACAGTGCTTTGTGTGTTAGGACACAGCGTTGTGTCGGGCTGCATTTCAAGGTTTTGTTTTAGCAAAATAGTCTTCCGGAGCCAAAGAGTTTCCTTTAATTTTAATCCATGTCCAACCTAGCGTAATGAATTTATTTACAAATACCTTCAGAGATGAGGCCGGAACTGATTCATAAACTTATGTTCAGAAACACAGAGTGGTCCACTGCCATCCAGATGCCAAAATTATTAGTAACACAACGCACATAATAGTGAAGTTATAAATGCAATGAGAAATCTCATAAAAAATATGTCCATTATGCGAATTCATCTTTTAAAGGTTCGTTCGTATCATTATATTGTGCCACAGGTGAAAGTTGTTTCCACCAAAAGTTATAGTTTAGACAATAGTTGTATCCAAATACTGACACAAAGATGCTTCTTACTCGCACTTGAACTGCTTCCAAGTATCCAGGCATTTGTAGGGCGGAGAGCAGGTGGCGTTGACGCAGGCTGAAGGTGGCACGCACCCCGACGCCAGGTCCAGCGCAGCCTCCACGGCCCCCCAGCGGGTGGCGTTCAGGGCCGGGGGCATCGGCAGCCGTCGACCGCTCACACGCACGTCGTCCAGGCAGCCTGGGCCAATTATTGTGAGGTTTGAGGTACCTTTTGGTTCAGTATCTTGACGAGAGGTTATTGAGTGAGAAGGAAAATCTGGATCGGGAGCACGTTCCTCGTTTGCTCACCTCGTCCAGATCGAAGGCAGGCACTTTTGCCACCACCGTTCCAAGTGGCGCGTCTCCGCTGATCCGCACGCTTTGCTGAACTTTTTCGAATGATGGAGCGTTGTCGTTAACGTCTAATATGCGCACTATGACGGTCGCTTCGCCCACCCTGTACTTGTTCTCCCATGCATCCGTTCCCTAAGACAGGCAAAAAAAAAAGAATTTAAAAACCATTCGGAAGGTATACCTTGAACTTCGATCTTTATACTTTATTCATTTCCACCATCCAATAAACTTGGATAACCTAGAGTAAGAAGAGCAAATGTAATCGACCGCCAGAGTTGATTGCATGGTGTGAAGTCGAGAGGAAGCATGTAGGTTTGCATTGTTTAGCATATTGTTCTTGCAAATATCATACATATACGATATGTTTCTTGATTTTATATTTCAAACATCTTCTTTACATAATAGTACGTAAGAACTTGGTTGCATTGCGCGTTAAATCTACGTATACGAAGACGATGCTTTAAACAAATAAAAAATAAAAGAAAACCGCCGAAGCATTGAGAAATAAATCAGATTACATGAATGTGTACGAATGATATTCGCATAATCAAGTTACGGGGCTGAAATAGCGATTTTTTAGAGAACAGAATGATTGAATTATATTGTTTACATTGTAACATTTCTATGAAGCGGAGTTTCAGTCACTATCATATGGCCAATCCTATTTTATAATCTTAGTTGCTTAATTACCTGATCGGTGACTTGAACTTGGAATCTCAAGCCGTCCTTGAGGTCAGGGTTTTCATAATCAAGAGGGACCAGACTCCTGAGCTCAGCACCATCACCAGCTGTTCGCCCTTCTATTTTCACCATCTGCCAGCCCCTCCCACTATCAGGAGCTACCTGAAGGAAAATATGTTAAAAAAGGTTTTAAATTTTTAAAGAGACCATCGAAAGAAAGAATGAAATGCGCTTGCTTGCGTTCTAACGCATAAAACATTTGTTGAACAAAAGAATTCTGTTATTCGAACCGCAGTTTCAACTCTGATTGCAGAATCTGAAGAATAGAAGGACTGAACATTACAAAAAATTGATTCTCATCCCAACGCAGACAAAATGCCCAGCTTGTTGCTTTAAAACTCTCTGAATAAAATATGTGTCTGTCCTTCACATCAGTGAAGGACAGACACGGTTTCTCTATCCCATCATGTCAAAGTACAAAAATATGGTAAGTTTCGGTCCCATATCATACGGCTAGAAAAATTAAAACGACAATACTGCCATCAGCTGTGAGCATTGACGCGAGGCCTTATTTGCTCATGATATTCAGCTACATTTGAGACCTGTAGGAAAATGCACCGAAAAAAATCAGGTCACAGAATTTGAAAATTGAAGTTCAGAAATTGAAGAGATCTCAGTGTAATGATATTCACGGCGACGGTTGGGAGTTGTGTTATTGTGTAGGCAAATGTTGTGCGGAAATGCATACATATATTTTTGCCTTGGCGTATTGAGAACTGAGAACCATTGGAACAAATTTTTTTGAACATAGATGCAAATGCGGCATCATTGAACAGCCCTGGAGCTACATAAAAGGTGGAGAAATGCGTCGAAGGAGGACGATGGCCAGGACATTTCCAAGTTTGTCAGCCCGCAACCAAGACTTTTTGTCAAAGTAATAAACTAAATTATTGAATAAATGCTACATAAAATGGCATACCCTCCTTCAAGTTTTATTCCCGATTACATTATCACGTAGGAGAAAATCCCGAGACGATTATCTAAAAAAATATATCTCAGTACTCACTGCAGTGAGTGACAGAGAGCGCATTTTCTCGTCGACGAAAACATGAAGTCACGGACAGACGGACGGTCAGACAGACATAAGGACATGACGAGCACAATAAGGGATTTTTTTCAATAAATGAGAAAATGCGCTAAAAAGTAATTATTTATATTTGTAATCACTTGTCAGATCTCTATGTTCATTGTATCAAAACTGTATAATTTTTGTTATATTATTCATATCATATCCCGAAAAAAACTGGGAACACTTTAATTCGTGGTCATTAAAGTTAAATGCCGTAATTGCCGTAAAACCTTTGATGCAACTTCTTATTCTCATCGAACTATTCGTACGGAAAATTTCTTATAAAAGTAAAGAATTCAAAATTTTTCTTATCGCCAAATCTTTTAACAAATTTTAAAATTCAAATTCCGAGGGAAACTTATAATTTCGAACCGCAATAAAATATCGCCGCTTCATTTAATGTTAACAGAAAATTAGTCGCTCCCTTACTAAACCGAGTCAAATTACTCGTATGCGACAGATAACTCTCTTCTATAATTTAAAAATTGGAAACACATAAAAGCTACTATTCGGTCTACCTAATTCGTGCAGTGAAATATTGTAGTTGACTGCAGAAATGAATACAAATTAATTACGTACACAGGCGGAACCCGAATTTTATGAAATATTTTTTTTAGAACGTAGTATTGGCTGGACTTGGAAGATCAACTTCATTAAGAGATTCGAGTCTTGATATTATCTATTACGTTACAATATGATTCAATAATGGTTGAATGTATTTATTTATGACTAAGCAATGTGTAAACGAATATTTATTTCGTGACCGTTATATGGAATCTTGTCTAGCTGTGGTGTTTGTAGTCTTGGAACGAGACAAGGTGTAGCTCCAACGTGATTGGTCGAACTGCTCCTAACCTCGTTATAACGCGCGCTAGGTAGTCGTGAACGATGGAGAGTTTGGTATCTTCGGAATTAGTTCAAGATTATTAGATTTTTAACTGTGATTAGATTGCCAAATGATTACAAATATGTTGACTTTATTGTATTATATTATATTATCTATTTTTTTGCACTTAGGAAGTGTTTACAGTCTGTTTTGTACATTGTAAACGGGTTGTTGAAGTAAGCTCATTTTGGCTGAGTTACCCCCTCGTTGTGTGCACTCGGAAGTTGTGTGTTCTCAGTGGTGCTGGGTTGGGGTGACACGGTTTCGACTCGAATCAGGCAGAGCCAAATTTGGGCTTCCAAGAATAAACTCCACCGCAGTTCTGGGCATAACTCTTAATGAGTTCCTCTAACGGACTAATAACGGCGTAGGTGGAGTTCTTGGATAGTTCCAGGTTTTGGCTGCGTTGGGTGGTTAACAGCCGTTCAAATCGCACCCTCGGGGTAGAGGCTAATAACCTCTGAGCTCGAGTAAATTGTCAGCGGCTTATTGGAGGCTCGTACTCTTCAATAGTCGTGCTTTTGAGGCGTAACTGCCACCCCGGTTCTGTGTTCTGGGCAGTGCATTAGGGCTCGAACCCCTGATCATTGCGCTGGTTGTCGGCATTGTGGTGCGGCTCGTACCCGTACCCTTGCTGTCCGTTCTGTTCAGTGCCGGGGCGTAATGAGGAGTAAACCTCTTCTGTTATCAAACGAACTCGAGTTCTGCATGAATATATCTGCTATCTGCGCTGTATTGCATTTCTGCGGTTGTTTTCCGCAGCGCAGGTAGCGGCATCGCTGGACGTGTTGAAAATGGCTGTGATCAACTTACAAGAAAATAGTTCCAGACATTAGTATTAATTCCTTGCTGGATATTCAATTAATGCAATGTATTTCACGGCATTCATCACTTCCTATACACTATTACACATTATAATTTTCATACCATGCTTTAAAGTTGAACACTAAAGCATCAGAAGCAGAAATATAACGTAAAAGTTTGACCAAACATCGACTAGCAGGATTCAGGGAGCGCAGAACGGAGGCCTCAATCTTTCAGAGCTACAAATAATGGGAAAAATTGGTGCAATTTTCCAGCGGTATTTCTTCGTACCCGAGGAAATGACGCAAAATAATTGGTAATTTCCTCAATTTTATTAGGAATAATCTGCGTGCAGCTGTTGTGTGTTGCTGCATGCAGGAGCAGCAAAGCAAACCGCAATAAGAAGGAAAAAAGTGGAGCTTCTAGTAACCTAAAATAATGTAAGGTTGGTTTTTACCATGATCATTAACAACGTAATCTAAACAAAAAGGTTTTGCTTAGTATTTTTGTATACCAGTTCGAGTCGACTTCAATTCAAATGAATTCGATAGAGGGGAAAAAATGAATTTAATGCAATGCATTGTTATATGCAGATATATTATTGTGTAGAAAATATTATTATTGCACTGCATATTTTATAAGCTATGCATTTGTTGAGCTCATTAGAAAGATCCAGGGGTATTCTACGCTGGGAAGTCATACATTTTTTAATTGGACTTGAATATTTTATCTCCAAGTTCTTGGTTGTTCGTCGTAGCATTTTTCTCTATATGCAAAGTTCTAGCAAGAATCTGCCATGATTAAATGAATTTGGAAAAAAAATTCTAGATTTTCGCTTTGCATTCGTTTATGCGTGGCGAATTAAAACTCCTCAATAATTCTCCATCACTTATTTGTTGATAAATGTATAGTAAGACTCGTTTATGATTTTATTTCATGTGTTCATTGATGCATGAAAAATTAAGTTGATGATCCAACGCTGGACTGAAATCGAGATTTGATTGTGAGGCCGACGAACTTAGCTGCATTTCTATGTGACCTTTGTAGGGATGTGAGCTTGAGTTAACTTTACTTACGCATCAGCTTGAGTTAGCTTTATTTACATGTGAGCTTGAGTTAACTTCACTTACGCGTGAGCTTGAGTTAGCTTTATTTACATGTGAGCTTGAGTTAACTATATTTACATGTGAGCTTGAGTTTAGGGGAGCGTCTAGGGTAAAATTTATCTCGGCTATTTACAGACGGATCACTCTGAAACTTGGTAAGCATATGTAGAAGAGAAGTCTAAGCCTTTTTTAAATATGTGAATTTTTCGAAAAAAATGAAAGAAAACGTGAAAATCTTATAAAACGGCCAAAAAAAAGGGGTACCGTAGAAATCTATTTTTTGGAAATCCTCATTTTTGTAGGTGTGGGGGCATTTTTTGTAAAATTTTCGGAAATTTTTCTATTTTACCCCCCCCCACAACCCCCTTTTTGCGGAATGAAATCCAAACTGTATCGAAATTAAAAAACGCATACAGCGATTTGTAGATCTTTTTCTTGCGCATCGAATGGTGTATGTCTCATTGTTATAGCATAAAAACTCTAGGAGGAGATAGGTTTGCCGTGAGAGAGGTTTTCATGTTTTCAAACTTTTCAGTAGAGGCGAAAAACCGCGGCGCGCTATGTAAAGGCATGTAACGTAGCTTAGATACCGGAAGTAAGCGTTATCTCACTTCAAAGTCAGTCAGCAGTGCATAGGACGACTACATCAACACCTTTCCGCATAATGGCTGAGTGATAACTGAGCTGCAGGTCCAGTGATAGCCATTTTATATGGCTTGGCCGTAATTATCCCCATAGACTTTTGTGAAGGGACCCCACCACCCTCCCCCCGTTTTGGATCTGTCCTGGACGCGGCAAATCAACGTACAGAGATGGTTCTAGTGCCGTTCGATGCGGCAGAAAGTAAGCTTTGAGATGAGCTTAAAAACCGGAAAAGCTTATAATATAGATTTTTAGGGTAGACGCTCCCCTTAACTATATTTATATGTGAGCTTGAGTTATCTTTATTTACATGTGAGCTTAAGTTAACTATATTTACATGTGAGCTTGTGAGCTTGAGTTAACTTTATTTACATATGAGCTTGAGTTTACTTTATTTACATGGGAGCTTGAGTTAACTTTATTTACATGTGAGCTTGAATTAACTTTAGAGAACTTTTTATTGGAAGTACGACCTCTGTTCGTTTGAATCTATGAATAGTATTTTGCACTCCAACTTGTTGGTGGAAATCTATTACGAATCGCCATTAATATAAATTATCCTCAAAATAGAAGACATAAAGTATAAATTAACAAGGAATGTGCTTAAATGTCGAACGTGGAAACTAAATTAATGAGAGCAGAGTTTTGAGCACCGAGCTCGATGTTAAGTACATCTAGGGCTTGGCGCTATAAATTTTTGTGATGGATAGAAGTCATGTAGGAGTCACAAAATAGAACAAATAAAAAAATACTTTTAAAAACCACGTTTTCTTAACGGACAAAAAAGGAAAACATTTACTCTTACATAACATTTAAGTTATGTAAAATGTTATGTAATGTTATGTAAGAGTAAATGTTTTTCTTTTTTCTCCGTTAAGAAAACGTGGTTTTTAAAAGTTTTTTTTATTTGTTTTATTTCACTATTTTTAGTTTTGTAAAAACCAGAAAAACGTGGTTTTTAAAAATATTTTTATATTTATCTATTTTCTACTTTTTAGTTAGCAATTATAGCCATTCAAATCAATTTCCAGGGTTGGCATGTGTGGATGTTCGAGAAAAAACTTAATTACTAACCGTGAATTTTTAGTGTTTTTTTTTAACTTGTTAATTTTTTTTTATTTTTTAAATTATAATTTCTGATGACCAAATCTTGAATTGTTAGGCAGCATAAACATGCATGCCAAATTTCAACTTATTAGGATGTTTAGAAGTACTCTAAATTAAGGTTTGAATTTTTGATGACAGACACACACGAAACGAAGTCAAGAAAAACGTGGTAATAATAACATGTGCATCGGTTAGAAAAGAGTAACGATGATTCATTTCTCGGTGCGAGGTACTGGAGCTGAAAAACTTATGATCACAATCAATATCTGTTGATATTGGCTCTGCAGGTCAGTGCAGACTAATTTAGAGTATCTCTTCAATATTTTACTTTAAACTGCTGAATGTTTCGAGTAATTGATCAAAATTATAAAAGATTTATTATATATCTATTAAATGGATGCAGATTACCTGCTCCAACGTCCAATAATTTACTGCAAATTTTTTATTTAAATTCGGAATTTATAATTTTGTTAATATGTACGGAAAACTTGCATTCATAATTTGAGAACTTCTATTAAATGTGAAATTATACATTGTGGAATCTTTGAATTATACTGCGCTACGAGCTTACAGTGTAATTTCCTACCTCTCCATTAAGTCGTATATTCCTGAGACATCCTTTGAAGTAGGATTGTTTATCGCCATTATTCTCGTGCAATGCATCACTGGAACTTGCGTCCATGGCTCCGAGTTGCAAAGGCGCGCCTCTTGTGTTGAGTTGTCCAGTCAAATCTTGCGCGTGCACAGCATTTCTGCAGTAGAATTGTTTGGACGGGCCGGGACCGTGGTCTTCTTCTAGGCCGGGACCGCGGTCTTCTTCTAGGCCGGGACCGCGGTCTTCTTCTGTTGTATTTTCAAGGGGCTGTACTACGCAGTTGTCGATGATCATCTCAACCGTCTAGGGATTATGTACAGACTCATGGAAAAATTTATTGATTGTATCAAAAATATGGATAGCTTTATATAAATAAAAAACTCAAAAAATTCAAACGTATTGGGAAAGATAATTAGTATAATTTTTTTATCAATCACGAAATATTACGCGTTGAAAAACGATAATTGAAATAACCAAATACCATGGAAAATAACAATTTTAGAAGCTGATTCACGGAGAGGGCTTTCTGTGAATCACATTCTTTTTTATTTGCTAAGCTTTTAGTGGGAGTAGCATCGCACAGGGTAATTTCCAGATTACAAAACTTTTACCAGCGCTCTGTGAAATTCAAAGCGTGGTTTAGAATGACTGTTGCTTTGACAAGGGGACGAGAAAAATACGGAATAGTTACTGTTATCAAGATGGTTCAAAAAATGGTCGGTCTTTAAGTTGGTTCTACAATTACAATGATGGTATTGGTATGAATACCATTAGAGCAATTATAACCAGTGCTAATAAAATAATGATTAGAAATAAAAATTCGAATTAATCGAAAACACGTACCTTATTTCGCCAGAAAATGTCCACACGATGCCACCGTAGGTCTGCTAGAGAAGTATTGATGCTCACGTCAACAGTGGCCGAGTTGAGGGACAAACGAAAAAGCGGCTTTCCTTCTGTTAGTTGAAGTACCAGACCCACTCTCCTATTTCCCTGCTTCTCAACACTGGAGAGTACGGTTCCATTCTTTGAGTCGGTGAGTAAAAATAAGCGTAGCTGAAGTTTTGAGCAAGGGTTTAAAGGTTGAAGCCAAAGCCATGACCCAGAGCCTCTCGCATCGCTCCCGGCAAAGTGCCGAGTCAGGATTTTGCAACGAGGCCCAATCGTGTGGCCCGGGCAGACGCACCTGCCAACTCGCGAGAAAATAACCAAATATAAATTCGCATCGCATTTTACCTTAATATTCCCAATTATTAAAATCAGGGTGCTGCTGGTCTTGAACGATATTAAATCTTTTATATCAGGTGGCAAATAATAAATAAAATTTAAAGAAGAATACAATTTTCATAAGTCTCGATACTTGCAGCTCTATACTAAGAAATTTATTTGTAAAGCTCAATAAAACTCAAGGATTTAACGTTCTTAAGATATTTTACCTGCTATATCTGCTCTAAGCAAGCTGGATTTTATGGTTAATTTGAACTCACTTGAAGCCAGGAGCTGAAGGCAGGCACCTGCCTCCATTAAGGCAGGTATTTTCATTGCAATCAACAAGTTTTCCGTTGACGCGCTTGTTCCTCATAGCGTGAGCATAAGGCGCTCGGGTCGCCGCCCCTTCTTGCCTTTGATCGTTCAAGGATTGCTCCTCTGCAAGCCTGGGAGATAAACCTGATGTTCCGTCAATCTGATCGTCCAATGTTGGGTTCACTTCACTGACCGTCGAATTACTTATGCATTTACAATTGGAGTCTAGGCTCAGGATCGGACCGACAAAGGTGGCAGTCGGAGTCTGAGTTATTGAGTAGCCTTCAGACAAGACCGAGCGGGGACTGCAGCAACATTCGCAAGACCTGCCGCAGTCTAGAGTACCTGCTCTGCTCATCCCAGACCCCAGAATGCTCAGCCCCAGGTGCTCTTCTATCTGTGTAAATATTTGTAGTATCATAAAATATTAGGAAGCATTTCTTTCTTGAATATATATTTCATTTGGTAAATTGATTGATAAGCTAAACTACATTAGGACAAAAAATAAATTCGATGTAAGTTGATGCAAACAACATTTATTTTACAAAATGGTATGCCCTGTTTTCGAACAAGTGAACAAACCTCTGCTTTATTCAAAGCGATGAACAATTCTAAAGACGTTTTGGTAGAGTCTGCGAGCCAGACTCTGGAGACATGTTCGTCTGAGTTTTGTCGGATTCCTTCTAGCGATACAACTTTAACCGAGGGAGTCCTGGGTTCATGGGTCAAAAATTCAGCGGCTGTCAAATTCAAAGAGAATCCGTGACTTGCGCGCCATCTTAGTCGAGTGAGAGTCACCTCGAGGGCATTGAGAAGTGAAGTGCCAGTCTATTGGGAACAAATGCAAACGGTAAAAATTATGACAGAAACCCACAACGCGGCTAAATTATAGGTCATGTATGATGCCCATTCACTCTAAATGCACGGTAAAATTGAATAGTTCTCTATATAACAGGTTAGATTAGCATGCAATAAAATAACAAGACCTGCGTAGTGTCGATCAATGCCTCGGGTTTAGCCGCGACATCGACAGGCGTGCTGTGGAGCGCCTGGTGCCTCGCCTGCCGCCCCACGGCCACGTTGAGGCTCGCCTGCACGTCAGGCGCAGGCGGCTCATAAATAGCGATGCTCAGACCGTAGCTGCGGGGAGATGAGTTACAGAGGGATGAATTCATATATATTATTCTAATATATATCCCGATTTAATAAATCAGTAGAGGACTGGGGCTTGGGTAGGAGGATGGTTGATTCATGCAAATATATCCAGGGCATTGCTGGGTAGTATGAGGATATCACAGACGTAAGCATTCATCGCTAAGAAAAATGAAGTAGCAAGAAAATAGTTCCAAGGGCTAATTGTTGGAAATAAATCTATAAATCTTATCACGAAGTACAGAACGGCAACAATTAGAGAAAGAATTAAATGTCTGGCAAGGAAATTTTTCGTGTTCATCTACTGGAAACCCCAACTAACCGAGACCTGATATTTCATTGCAAAATAACGTTACTGACAATAGCGTTGGCTGTTCTCACCTGCCAGAAGGAGTAGAAGCTTCAGCAAACAAGTTTCCTGATCTTTTGTCCAGCACAAAATACTTGTGGGATCTCGACCAAGAATATTCTGCTTTGCCAGACTCTTTTGAGGAAACTGAGCCTAAAGGAATGGCTTGTCCGATTTCCATCTCAGACTGTGAAAAAAATGAAAAAAAGAAATAGTTATGAATGATAAACTGTAATGTTGTGAAGAGCAACTCGATACGTGCATTGATTGCACGCGATTAGCTGCGTTCTGAACAACCACGAGATAATTAATATGGAAGTATTTAATTATTCTGATAGGTCTTTTTTAATTCACTTTTCACAAAAATTTTCTTCTAAGATATTGATTAAAATTGAACAGCATTAGGAAAAATAGTTTAGTATTGAAATACTGAATAACAACGCCTATTAAATTAAAAATGCGTAAGTAATCAACAATGTGATCAGATTTCATTCAAACTTTCAATCTGTAATATGCGTACGTTGAGAGCAACAAGAGTGACGTCCCTGGCAGCTATGGGGCTGTCCTCGCTGACGACGGCGATGGTGAGGGACACGGTGCCTGTCATGGCGGGCCGCCCCCCGTCAGCTGTCAGCACCGGCACCACGAACGACGCCGGCGCGTCCATGTCGAGGCGGCGCTTTATTTTTATGCTGCCTACGCCGCCCGCGGAGTCTGGAGCCGGGCAACAGAGGAGGGTGTGAGTTTATTTTTATGCTGCCTACGCCGCCCGCGGAGTCTGGAGTCGGGCAACAGAGGCGGGTGTGAGGTTATTTTTATGCTGCCTACGCCGCCCGCGGAGTCTGGAGCCGGGCAACAGAGGTGGGTGTGAGTTGAGAATATTTGAATATATCAGAAAGTTGGGCTTAAAGATCCGTTAAATTAGTTAGAATATGTCGTTATGCGAGATCAGAAGTAAAATGCAAAAATTTTGATTGATATCTGATATTGTTAACGACCAGCAATATATGGTACATAGAGAATTAGCAGGAGCTTATCATAATTAAAAAAATTATATTCATTGACAAGAAAAGGAAAATTACATGTAACTCTAGAATTATCGCATAAATTAAACGTAAACAGTAATTCCATGTGCAAATACGATAGAAAATGCCACATTGAATTGTGATATTAGAGTATAAAACACATTAACCTCACCAGCGGAAGCAAAATATAGATCTTACAATATTCTTTTAGATTGCACCTATACAAAAAGAAAAAAAATAGCGGTGAATACGAATGTTATCGTTATCTGTTTTGAATTTTATCGGTTGTAGTTCAATGCATAAATTAAAAAAAAATATGATCCATGTAGAAAATTCCAAATGATGTGGGAAAATTTTCCCACCGTTGATCATTTTTTTGTCCATTGTTAATTTGTTCAGGTTCGCTGTTGTTGATTCACTTGTTGGGTCTCATTTAGGGTAATTTTTATTCGTTAAGTAATAGAGGTAAAGTTGGTAGGTAGAGCCAGAGCCAGTACGTTCATTACCATACTAGCAATCGGACGAACTATGTTCGCTCCGGGTTGCATTGTCTTGCGACTAGTACCACGTCAACCTCCGCATCAGTGCAGCTTCAGCCAATCAATCCACAATAAGTTCTAAATTTCTTCCTGTGCTCTATTTATCTATCTTTTCGTTTGTATGAATGTTGCTGTTTATTCTTTATTTTTATTTACGTTCTGTTATTAAGCTTGTTTACTACGGTACTCTAGACAATCAAATTAATCCAATCCTACCAACTTATCGATCAAAATTATTATCTTATCAACTCTACAATTTAAATTATCAATCAATTTTATCAACTATTCAATTTATCAATTAAATTATATAGCGTGGCTTCTAAAGTTCATGCGGAGCTGGCATCCGTATGTGTAGTCCACTGCTCTATAAGCTTTTTCTTCCTTTCAAAAGTCAAATGTCCTACTGTACTTACTATATTTCTCGTCTAGAGTACCTACCTTCCACTAATTTCTCTAAGCTCAAATTTGCCACCTTCCTGAAAGCTAGTAATTATCACTGAGACGCATCTAAATCTTAGGTTTGTGAACTGTAGACTTGTCCATTCATATATATAGTTATCACTTTCTCTGATTCTGATTTTGATTTAGCTATAGCGAGGTGGATAGAACAATTGCTTTAAATATTCATTTATATCTTGCAGTATTCTGTGCTGGATCCTCCTGAAGCAATGCCGAAGAGGACATTTCTATTCTGTTGCCTGAATCAATTATTAAGATCAACGTACGTCCACATTTACTTTGATAATTGCCCCCTTCATCTTCATCCCATCGGGATGTGGAAAAGTTACTTCGTCCATCTTGGGAAATCTTTGGATTGAATATTAAAATCCAATTGAACTATTTCTGTTTTATTTGATCCGATTGTGTGAGACAAATTTCTCACAATGATTTAGCAGCGGAATATTCACCTAAACAATTCAAATGAAGGATAATACTTTCGAATTGGATGAACACAAATGCCACAAATGATATTCACCTCTCTTATAGGCGAAACTGACGGCCTTTCTTATGAAGCTGGGAACCCTTGGATCAAGCTGGGCGGAAAAAGGAGGTCCATGGCCAACACTCCAAGTGTGGGATGAACACAAATGCCACAAATGATATTCACCTCTCTTATAGGCGACACTGACGGCCTTTCTTATGATGCTGGGAGCCCTTGGATCAAGCTGGGCGGAGAAAGGAGGTCCATGGCCAACACTCATATTCACCTCTCTTATATGCGACACTGACGGCCTTTCTTATGATGCTGGGAGCCCTTGGATCAAGCTGGGCCGAGAAAGGAGGTCCATGGCCAACACTCCAGTCGTCGGGGTCGGTCAGGTTAAAATAACTCGTGAAGCCATCGATGTTATTTCTGTGCACGTTCACGTACGTGGGGCCCGTGAAGATGGGGGCGTTGTCGTTCACGTCATCGATTTCAACCTTCAAAATATGTGAAAGAAAATATTGGTATAAAATTTACATATCATAATGTATGAATGAAAATTCAATCTTATGTTGAAAATCCTCACTTTTCTTGAATTGGACAACAGAAAAATTATCTAATTACAGTGAAATAACAATTGTGTCAGTGTTTGTGACGATTGATCGTAACAGCGAATATGTTTGTCTTTTTAGGAAACTTTATTCCTGCGAAAATTAGAATTAAGTTTAATGCTGAATTCGAGAAGTCAGTGTGATTCGGTGATTAATACAGCCACTTGGCCTGTTGGAGTTTTCGTAACGTTTTCTTGCAAATGCTCTTCCATTCTTAAAAGATAACTACTAACCTCGAATGTTTAACGTTTGAACAAAGTTCGATGATTTCACGCGGAACTAAGTCATATATATGTTTAAATAGTGAAGAGCAAGTGTTCGGTTAAAAATAACTTGCTATTTACAGTCTTACCACTTACGATTTTGCCACTTACGGTTTTGCCACTTACAGTCTTGCCACTTACAGTTCTGCCATTTACAGTCTTGTCACTTACAGTCATGCCAATCAGAGTCATGCCGCTCACAGTCAAGCCACTTACAGTCCTGTCACTTATACTTTTGCCACTCACAGTAATGCCACTCACAGTCATTCCATTTACAGCCATGCCACTTACAGTCATGCCACTCACAGTCTTGCCACTTACAGTCTTGCCACTTACAGTTTTGCTACTCACAGTCTTGCCACTTGCAGTCATGCCACTTACAGTTACAGTAGCGGACGACTGGCGTGGTGGCACACCGTGGTCAGTGGCATGAACCACTATATTGCATTACAGTTTAGCCCCTCACAGTCTCGCCACTTACAGTTTTGCTACTCACAGTCGTGCCACTTACAGTCTCGCCACTTACAGTTACAGTAGCGGACGACTGGCGCGGCGGCACTCCGTGGTCAGTGGCATGAACCACTAGGCTGTGCTTGCTGATGGCCTCTCTGTCCACTAGGCCGATGGTCCTGATGGTCCCTGTGTGGTCGATGCCGAAGTGAGGACTTGATCCTCTCCTACCAGCGAGGCTGTAGCGAACCAAGCCATTCCTGTTCTGTGTTCTCGACATAAAGAGGTTCTGCGTTGTATACTTGTAGTTGATGCAGTCAGGAAAAAAATTTTTGATGTTAATGCTGAAATTTATTGCACCATTTTATTCACCCAGCTGAATTTAAAGTGAATGAGTGACCTGAATAAATCGTTTTGAAAGTTTCTGTTCAAGGAAATCTTGTATGAAGGTTTTAATTGATCCGCGTCAAAAATTACGCTAGAGCGAGTTGGACACTCTCGTTTCTACTATCTTAAATTATATTAACATTTCCCTTATTTAGCAAAACCGAGTATAAGCTAACACAACCAAATAAACATTAAGCGATTCGCCTCTATAGAAGAACTCAAGTATCCCTCGTTTGCTCACTTCGTCCAGATCGAAGGCAGGCACTTTTGCCACCACCGTTCCAAGTGGCGCGTCTTCGCTGATCCGCACGCTTTGCTGAACTTTTTCGAATGATGGAGCGTTGTCGTTAACGTCTAATATGCGCACTATGACGGTCGCTTCGCCCACCCTGTACTTGTTCTCCCATGCATCTGTTCCCTAAGACATGCAAAAAATAATTTAAAAACCATTCGGAAGGTATACTTTGAAATTCGATCTTTATACCTTATTCATTTCCACCATCCATTAAACTTGGATAACCTAGCTAGAGTAAAACGAGCAAGTATAATCGGCCGCCAGAGTGGTGAAACGTCAAGAGGAAGCATGTAGGCTTGCATTGTATAGCTTACCATTCCTCGAATATAATTCATATACGACATATTTCTTGATTCCATATTTCAAACATTATCTCTACATAATAGTAAGTAAATAAAATGTATAAAAAAATTTTTAAAGACCACGTTTTTCATGTGGACTATAAAGTAGAAAATAATTTTTCGGCAGCTACTGATCTCTGTTTGCTTTCATTCTCTTGGTCTTTTGTATTTCAGTTAAAATATTTTACAACATCTAAAACGGAAAACGTGGGGCGCATATGTATTTAATTGTTTGGTGATTACTTGATATGATGAATATGATGGTTCATTGAGCATTTGATAAGTGTATTGCTGATATATCTGATTTGAGCAAATTTTGTTATTTACTGTTGGTATATTGATTTATCATGTTTCATCCAATATAGGTAGTTTGAAATGTGTATAAGTAATTCAAGCAAGTAAAGATATGAATCATGAATAACGCAGGTCAGGGTATGCGAAAATTTTAAAAGAATCAAATTTTGAGAATTTTAAATGAACGCGTTGTGCCCAACAGTCCTACACTGCAGGGAAGGTCGTACCCAGCAGTCCTACACTGCAGGGAAAGTCTTGCTCAACAGTCCTACACTTCCGGGACTTGCATGCCCGGGTTTCCACATGACATTCAGGGAGGCACGCAGTCCTATTCTGCATGCTGGGGCGTACATAGCAGTCCTACACTGGCTGCCGGAGCACGCTCACAGTCCTACACTACATGCTGTGACACGATGTCCTACACTGTATGCCGAGACACGTAGTTCTTCAGTGCATGCCGGGGCACGCACGCAGTCCTACACGACATGCAGGGTCACGATGTCCTACACTGCATGCCAGGGTGCACACGAACTGCCTCGAAGAAACCGCCCTATTTTCAGGTAACTAAAATCAGCGAATTTAAATAGAAACCATGATGCGTTGTGTGCAAACAAGGAAATTTCAAAAACACGTGGTTGGTTTTTCTTCAGAAAATGACCAATCGGAACATATGCAAAAGGAAAGGAGGAGCATTATTTTACAGGAAGGGAGTAAGGACCTCCACACGACGTGATGTTGATTATTGGCACGTACAAATTTTTACGAACGAGCTATAATAATATGTTTCAAACAAACGATATTTACAGTATACCTGGGGATATTATTTTCACTCAGTTGTTAATTCCACATACTAGCTACTACAGTTTTATTGAAGGTATTACGTATTTCGCTCATGGGTGAAGCTCATTCGTCCAACTGTCCAGATATGTCGCCTTCAGTTTCAGTCGGCGCCACGACCACGTGGACATATATCTCGTCTTTCAATTTTTTTGCAATGAATAAATTTTAACAACTGGTAATAATTCTTCATTGTAAATAAAAATATGTTTCGTAAAAATACTCCACATAAAGCTTTTTGGTAGTTGTGTAAAATTCGGGTGTTAGATGTTAGAATGGATCGCAAACACCAAGCAAAGGAGTTCTTTGAACACGGACTTACTTAGTTTCTCGCTCCTTTTTTAACCCTCGTCAGACCGAAAAATTTTACGACGTTACAGTGGTCATTTGTACCCAGTGTACATTTGTACCCATGCAGTCCGATAAGCATTAAATTAAAACACTGAAAGAAATTCATGATCAAAATGAAAGCGTTACACATGAATAAATTCGTTACTCTCATCGAGTCCCTGTTACAATCAAATGAAATTTCAATTAATTATGGTAATTAGCGGCGAGTGGACATTTTTTGGCTCGTTTGGCCGATAATTACTCCAGTTTATTCTGTGTGCAACGTGTATTTTTGAATACGAAAACATAGGAATTTCAATCAATTTTCCTAATAGATTCTTCTTTGTCAAACATCGCGTTATGAAACATTAAGTTCTAAGAAAATAATCGTTAGAGAGAAGCCAATACTTTGATAAGTGATAAATTTTCTCGCAGTTTCAAATTTTACATTTTACCAATTATGCAACGAAAAAATACGATTGTAAAATTCAAATTGAGAAGCTGGCTCTTACAAAAGCCTTGAATATTCACTGCTTGAGAAAAATTGACACCTGCACCTGAACAAATTCGGACGGTAAAGACCAACTTACTTGGAGTTCGCTGGGCAGCGCAGAGCTGCGCAGTTCTGATAGACACAGCCAGGCTCTGATCGATTACTGGGCACATTTTCTCCCAAATCCAAGAGCTTTGAGGGGAGAAAAATTACATTACTAACAGCGTGAAGTCCGTGAGATAACATTTTTGATCAATCTTAAACCGGGGACATTTTCGGAATAGAATTATTCTCTTGCATAGTTTTGTTCCCATTAGAAAGTACGATCTTTGCTGTACACGTAAATATATTCTTATTCTCGAGTCATGCATTCGGAATTGCTGACTGCAAATGAAATGGTTGCACAAACGTTCTTCCCCGTTATGATTCAAGATTGTGGCTTTACGATAACTAGCAATAATTCACGAAGTTGAGGTGTTGTAGAGAGATATTTATAACATTTAATGGAGCGTAAAGCAATTTTCGCAACAATATTCACTCAACATTTTAATATAATTATACAATAAGTATCTAAGTAAAGTTGAAAATTTTAAACTATAAGGTTTTGCAGAGATCGTTGTGTTCAATATATTCAACGTGATTTACAATCATTAGCAAGACACAAGACACAAAGTGAATGCTGAAACCGATGATGCAGAATCTCATTGTACATTCTCTCTGAAATACCGCAAATCACATTCTGGTAAAATTCTTAGACATGCACAGTTAATGAACTTTTCCTGTTATGCTCGAACACTTCGTCTATGGAAAAATCTGAAACTAAATCGAAGAAGCTCGCTATCAGTAATTAGCAGCCACTTCGATGAGCGGCCGTGTCAGATATACTAGGAATGAGGAAAATAACGCAACGCTGTTTCATGCAGACGTGGAACAAAGGGACTGCGGGATCGACAACGAGCTCTGTTCAGTGCCGGGGCGTAATGAGGAGTAAACCTCTTCTGTGATCAAACGAACCCGAGTTCTGCATGAATATATCTGCTATCTGCACTGTACTGCATTTCTGCGGCTGTTTTAAGGTTGGTTTTTACCGTAATCATTTATAACGCAATTTATCAAAAAAGTTGCTGCTTAATATTTTTACATCCAGTTCGAGTCGACTTCAGGTCAAATTAATTCGAACGTGGATAAAAACCGAATTTCATGCAATGTATTGTTATGCATAAATACCACTGCATAACAAAATATTATTATTGCACTGCATATTTTGTAAGCTAAGCATTGGCTGAGCTCATTAGTAAGATGCAGGGGGGCATTCTATGCTGTGAAGTCATATATTTTTGAAGTGGACTAGAAGATTTTATCTCCAGGTTCTTGGTGCCTCGTCGTAACATTTTCCTTCATATGCAAAGTTTTAATAAGAATCTGCCCAAATTAAATGACTCTAGAAATTTTTTTATAGATTTTCATTCATTCGTGCATTCGTTTCATTCGTGAATGCACGGCGAATTGAACCCCCTTAACAATTCTCCATCGGGTATTCGTTGATAAATGTAGATTAAGACTCGTTTATGATTTTATTTCATGTATTCATTGATGCATGAAAAATTAAATTAATGACCCAACGCTAGACTGAAATCGAGATTTGATTGTGAGGCGGACGCATTTAGTTGCATTTGAATGTGGCCTTTGTGGGGGATGTGAGCTATAGTTAACTTTATTTACATTTGAGCTTGAGTTAACTTTATTTACATATGGGATTGAGTTAACTTTATTTAAATGTGAGCTTGAATTAACTTTACTTACTTGTGAGCTTGAGTTAACTTTATATACACGTGAGCTTGAGTTAATTTCATTTACTTGTGAGCTTGTGTTAACTTTATTTACATGTGAGCTAGAGTTAACTTTATTTATATGTGAACCTGAGTTAACTTTAGGGAATTTTTCAATGGAAGTACGACCTCTCTTCATTTGAATCTGAATGAATAGTATCTTGTACTCCAACTTGTTAGAGGAAACCTATCACGAATCGCCAGTAATAAAAATTATCCTCAAAATGGAAGCAACAAAGTATAAATTAACAAGGAAATTAATATCATCAGAGTTTTGAGCACTGAGCGCAATGTTAAGCATATCTAGGGCTTTGCGCTAGAAATTTTTGTGATGGATAGATGTCATGTACGAGTCACAAAACAATAAAATGTGCATCGGTCGCAAAAGAGTAACGATGGTTCATTTCTCTATGCGAGGTACTGGAACTTAAAAACTTATGATTACAATCAATATTGGCTCTGCAGGGCAATGTCGACTAATATAGAGTATCTCTTCAATATTTTACCTTAGACTTCTGAATGTTCCGGGTAAGGGATCAAAATTATATAAGAATAATTAAATATCTATTAATTGAATGAAGATTACCTACTTCAACGCCCAAACTTTTTTTGTTCATTATTCAATGTACTAAAAATTCTCGATTAGGAATGCAGAACGAATGATATTTATCATGAAGGAATTAAATTCTGATCTATTTTAATACTGTTAATATTTACTGTACGAAAAACTGGCATTCATGATTTGAGAACTTCTAGTAGATGTGAAATTATACATTGTTAAATATTTTAATTATTCTGTGCTATGAGCTTATACAGTGTAATTTCCTACCTCTCCATTGAGTCGTATATTCCTGAGACATCCTTTGAAGTAGGATTGTTTTTCACCATTATTCTCGTGCAATGCATCACTGGAACTTGCGTCCATGGCTCCGAGTTGCAAAGGCGCGCCTCGTGTGTTGAGTTGTCCAGTCAAATCTTGCGCGTGCATAGCATTTCTGCAGTAGAATTGTTTGGACGGGCCGGGACCGCGGTCTTCTTCTATGCCGGGACCGCGGTCTTCTTCTAGGCCGGGACCGCGGTCTTCTTCTAGGCCGGGACCGCGGTCTTCTTCTGTTGTATTTTCAGTGGCCTGTCCTACGCAGTTGTCGATGATCATCTCGACTGTCTGGGGATTATGAACAGATTTATTGTGCAAATTAATGATTTTATAAAAAATATGGATAGCTTAATATAAATCAAAAAACTAAAAAAATTTAAATGTATTAGGAAAGAAAATCTGTGTACCATTTTTCATCAATTACGAAATATTACGCGTTGAAAAATGATAATTGAAATAACCAAATACCATGAAAACTAAAAATTTTAGAAGGTGATTCACGGTGAGAGCTTTCTGTGAATCACCTTCTTTTTTATTTGCTAAGCTTTCAATGGGAATAGCACTGCACAGTCTAATTTCCAGGTTACAAAACTTTTACTAGCGCTTTGTGGAATTCAAAGCGTGGTTCAGAATGATTGTTGCTTTGACAAGGGGACGAGAAAAATACGGTATAGTTACTGTTATCAAGATGGTTCAAAAAAATGGGTCTGTCTTTAAGTTGGTTGTTCAATTACAATGATGGTATTGGTATGAATACCAATAGACCAATTATAACCTGTGAAACTGATTGCAAATGCTAATAAAATAATGATTAGAAGTGAAAATTAAAATTAGTCGAAAACACGTACTTTATTTCGCCAGAAAATGTCCACACGATGCCACCGTAGGTCTGCTAGAGAAGTATTGACGCTCACGTCAACAGCGGCAGAGTTGAGGGACAAACGAAAAAGCGGCTTTCCTTCTGTTAGTTGAAGTACCAGACCCACTCTCCTATTTCCGTGCTTCTCAACGCTGGAGAGTACGGTTCCATTCTTTGAGTCGGTGAGTAAAAATAAGCGTAGCTGAAGTTTTGAGCAAGGGTTTAAAGGTTGAAGCCAAAGCCATGACCCAGAGCCTCCCGCATCGCTCCCGGCAAAGTGCCGAGTCAGGATTTTGCAACGAGGCCCAATCGTGTGGCTGGGGCAGACGCACCTGCCAACTCGCGGGAAAATAACCAAGTAGAAAATCGCATTTTACGTTAATATTCCTATTATTGAAAGCAGTGTGCTGCTGGTCTTCAACGATATTAGGTCTATTATATCAGGTGGCATATAATAAAAAAATTAAAAGAAGAATTCAATTTTCATAAGTCTCGATATTCGCAGCTTTACACTAAGAAATTTATATAGGAAACTCATTAAACTCGAGGATTAGACGCTCTTAAAAAATTTTACCCACTATATCTGCTTTAAGCAAGCTGGATTTCATTGTTAATTTGAACTCACTTGTATCCAGGAGCAGAAGGCAGGCACATGCCTCCATTAAGGCAGGTATTTTCATGGCAATCAACAAGTTTTCCGTTGACGCGCTTGTTCCTCATAGCGTGAGCATAAGGCGCTCGGGTCGCCGCCCCTTCTTGCCTTTGATCGTTCAAGGATTGCTCCTCTGCAAGCCTGGGAGATAAACCTAATGTTCCGCCAATCTGATCGTCCAATGTTGGGTTCACTTCACTGACCGTCGAATTACTTATGCATTTGCAATTGGAGTCTAGGCTCAGGATCGGACCGACAAAGGTGGCAGACGGAGTCTGAGTTATTGAGTAGCCTTCAGACAAGACCGTGCGGGGACTGCAGCAACATTCGCAAGACCTGCCGCAGTCTAGAGTGCCTGCTCTGCTCATCCCAGACCCCAGAATACTGAGCCCGAGGTGCTCTTCTATCTGTTTAAATATTCGAAGTATCATAAAACATCAGGAGGGATTTCCTTCCTTGAATATTTTGTTCATTAGATAAACTGGTCGATCATCAAAATTAAATTAAGACCACAAATAAAGCTTACGCAATTTGGTGCAAACAAAGTTTATTTTACAAAAAGGTATGAATGGTATACTTCAAAAGTATGTTTCATGACATTTGAAGCTGGAGAAATCCAAAGTCGTGATTTCCGAACAAGTGAACGAACCTCTGCTTTATTCAAAGCGATGAACAATTCTAAAGACGTTTTGGTAGAGTCTGCGAGCCAGACTCTGGAGACATGTTCGTCTGAGTTTTGTCGGATTCCTTCTAGCGATACAACTTTAACCGAGGGAGTCCTGGGTTCATGAGTCAAAAATTCAGCGGCTGTCAAATTCAAAGGGAATCCGTGACTTGCGCGCCATCTTATTCGCGTGAGAGTCACCTCGAGTGCATTGAGAAGTGAAGTGCCAGTCTATTGGGAACAAATGCAAACGGAAAAACAATTATGACAGAAAACCCACAACGCTGTTAAATTATAGGTCATGTAAGATGCATATTCACTCTAAATGCTCATTAAAATTTAATAATTCTCCTGATAACAGGTTAGATTAGCATGGAACAAAATAACAAGACCTGCGTGGTATCGATCAACGCCGCGGGTTTAGCCGCGACATCGACAGGCGTGCTGTGGAGCGCCTGGTGCCTCGCCTGCCGCCCCACGGCCACGTTGAGGCTCGCCTGCACGTCAGGCGCAGGCGGCTCATGGATGGCGATGCTCAGACCGTAGCTGCGGAGGAGATGAGTTACAGAGGGATGAATTTATAGATGTTATTATTGTATAAATATAGATTTGAAAAGTCGGGCACGACTGGGGTAGAAGTTAATGTGTGCAACTGCATCATATAGGAGCATGAGGATGTCTGAAGTTGATTTATGAATGCGTTAGGATGTGAGAAAATGTTATTTGCATGAAATATGTAGGAATTAGATTAGCGACGTAAGCATCAATCTATTGAAAGAATCGTAACCTACTCACTCGATAGAAAGAATAAATTAGCGTAAAATAATTGCAAGTGCTGATTCTTAGAAATAAGTCCATCAATCTCATCATGATATAACACACCGCAAAAATTAAAAAACAAATTCAATGTCTGGAAAGTTAACTGTTTGTGTTTATCTGCCAGAAGAAATTGGAGCCGAACAAACCGAGACCTGATATTTTTTGAGCGACAAAATAATGATACTGATAATAACGTTGGCTGGACTCACCTGCCAGAAGGAGTTGAAGCTTCAGCAAACAAGTTTCCTGATCTTTTGTCCAGCACAAAATACTTGTGGGATCTCGACCAAGAATATTCTGCTTTGCTAGACTCTTTTGAGGAAACTGAGCCTAGAGGAATGGCTTGTCCGATTTCCATCTCAGACTGTAAAAGAATTAAAAACTTGAAAACGGTTGGAATCAATAAACTGTGATGTTGTGAAGAGCAACGCGAAACGTACATTGATTGCACGCGGTTAATTGCGCTCTGGACAACCTCGAGAAAATTAATATGGAAGTATATAACTCTTCTGCTAGGAGACAATGAATCATTTCACGTCATTTTTCACAAAAATATTCTCTTCGTAGAGAGATTCGAATTGCACACCATTAGGAAAAATAGTTCAGTATTGAAATACTGAATAACTAAGCCTATCAAATTAAAAATGCGTAAGTAATAAAAAATTTGATTGAATTTCATTCAATCTTTAAATTTGTGATTTACGTACGTTGAGAGCAACAAGAGTGACGTCCCTGACAGCTATGGGGCTGTCCTCGCTGACGACGGCGATGGTGAGGGACACGGTGCCTGTCATGGCGGGCCGCCCTGCCCAGTTAACTAAACTGTCAAGATCATCTTGTAATTGCGCTTTATTTGACGCATACTTCACTGAATTATAAACTTTTGTGTCGTCGGCATACATGGAGCACACGCTGGACACTACTTCTGGCAGATCATTTATAAAAGCAAGGAACAAAATAGGCCCCAGAACGCTTCCTTGTGGCACGCCACTGCGCACTGATGCCCAGTCTGACACGGTTCCGTTAATACTGACACGTTGTCGTCTACCTACTAGAAAATCTCTGATCCATTGGAGTACGTTTCCCTCAATTCCCAAGGACTTCACTTTACGCAACAGCCGCTCATGCGAAACACTGTCAAATGCTTTGGCAAAATCGAGGTACAATGCATCCACTGGCTCCTTTTCGTCCAACAGCAACCAGCAATATTTGACACATAGAGCAGTAGCAGGAGCTTATCATAAATAAATAAAAATAATATACATTGACAAGAAAAGGAAAACTAAGGGTAACTCTAAAATTACCGCATAAATTAAACGTAAAAAGTAATTCCATGTGCAAATAAAATAAGTAATTGTCACATTAAAGTATAAAACAAATTGACCCCACCAGTGGAAGCAAAATATAAACAATATGTCTTTAGATTGCACGTATACAAAAAAATGGTAAATAAGAATGTTATCGTTAAATATTATGAATTTTATCGGTTGGAGTTCAATGCATACAACTGAAAAAATAAGATCAATGTAGAGACTTTCAAAATTACTAATTTACCGAAAGAATAATCACCGAAACAATTCAAATGAAGGATAATACCTTCGTATAGGATGAACACAAATAATACAAACATTTTCTCCTCACTTATATGCGACACAGACGGCCTTCCTTATGATGCTGGGAGCCCTTGGATCAAGCTGGGCGGAGAAAGGAGGTCCATGGCCCACACTCCAAGTATGGGATGAACACGAATGACACAAATGATATTCACCTCTCTTATATGCGACACTGACAGCCTTTCTTATGAAGCTGGGAGCCCTTGGATCAAGCTGGGCGGAGAAAGGAGGTCCATGGCCAACACTCCAGACGTCGAGGTCGGTTAGGTTAAAAAAACTCGTGAAGCCTTCGATGTTTTTTCTGTGCACGTTCACGTACGTGGGACCCGTGAAGATGGGAGCGTTGTCGTTCACGTCATCGATTTCAACCTTCAATATATGTGGAAGAAAATATTGATATTAAATTGACATATCATGAAGTATGAATGAAAATTCAATCTTATGTTGAAAATACTCACTTTTCTTGAATTGGACAGTAGAAAAATTATCTAAATATAGTGAAGTATTAATTGCGTTTGTGATGATTGAATTTCATGCGAATATGTTTATCTTTTCAGGAAACTTTATCCTAGCGAAAATTAGAATTAAGTTTAATGCTGAATTCGAGAAGTCAATGTAATTCGGTGATTAATACAGCCAATTGACTTGTTGGAGTTTTTTGTAACTTTTTCTTGCAAATGCTCTTCCATTCTTAAAAGATAATTACTAATCTCGAATGCTTGAACGTTAAAAAAAGTTCGATGATTCACGCGGCACTAAGTCATTAATATGTTGAAATAGTGAAAATTAAGTGCTCTGTTGAAGAATGACTTGATATTTACAGTGTTACCACTTACAGTTTTGCTACTCACAGCCATGCCACTTACAGACTTGTCACTTACAGTCTGGCCACTTACAGTCTTGCCACTTACAGTCATGCCCCTCGCAGTCATGCCACTCACAGTCATGCCACTTACAGACTTGCCACTTATAGTCATGCCACTTACAGTCATGCCCTACAGTCTTGCCACTCACAGTCTTACCACTTACAGTTACAGTAGCCGACGACTGGCGTGGCGGCACCCCGTGGTCAGTGGCATGAACCACTACATTACATTAGTCTTACCACTTACAACCTTGCCACTAGTAATCTTGCCACCCACAGTCTTGGCACTTACAGTTACAGTAGCGGACGACTGGCGTGGCGGCACTCCGTGGTCAGTGGCATGAACCACTACATTATATTACAGTCTTGCCACTCACAGTCTTGTCACTTACAGACTTACCACTTACAGTCTTACCACTTACAGTTACAGTAGCGGACGACTGGCGCGGCGGCACTCCGTGGTCAGTGGCATGAACCACTAGGCTATGCTTGCTGATGGCCTCTCTGTCCACTAGGCCGATGGTCCTGATGGTCCCTGTGTGGTCGATGCCGAAGTGAGGACTTGATCCTCTCCTACCAGCGAGGCTGTAGCGAACCAAGCCATTCCTGTTCTGTGTTCTCGACATAAAGCGGTTCTGCGTTGTATTCTTGTAGTTAATGCAGTCAGGAAAAAATTGATATTAATGCTGAAATTTATTGTACCATTTTATTCACCCAACTGAATATAAAGTGAATGAGTGAGCTGATTAAATCGTTTTGAATGTTTCTGTTCAAGGAAATCTTGCATGAAGGTTTTAATTAATCCGCGTCAAAAGTTACGTTAGAGCGAGTTGGACACTGTCGTTTCTACTATTTTAAATTATATTGACATTTCCCTTATTTAGCAAAACCGAGTATAAGCTAACATAACCAAATAAACATTAAGCGATTCTCCTCTATAGAAGAACTCAAGTATCCCTCGGCTTCTCACTTCGTCCAGATCGAAGGCAGGCACTTTTGCCACCACCGTTCCAAGTGGCGCGTCTTCCCTGACCCGCACGCTTTGCTGAACTTTTTCGAATGATGGAGCGTTGTCGTTAACGTCTAATATGCGCACTATGACGGTCGCTTCGCCCACCCTGTACCTGTTCTCCCATGCATCCGTTCCCTAAGACATGCAAAAAAAGAATTCGAAAACAACTCGGGAGGTAAACCTCGAACTTCGATCATTATACCTTATTCATTTCCACCATCCAAAAAACTTGGATAACCTAGTTAGAGAAAACGAGCATATGCAATCGACCGTCAGAGTGGTTTGCATGGTGAAAAGTCAAGAGGAAGCATGTAGGTTTGCATTGTTTAGCATATCGTTCTTGCGAATATCATACATATACAATATATTTCTTGATTTTATATTTCAAACATCATCTCTACATAATAGCGCATAAGAACTTGGTTGCATTGCGCGTTAAATCAACGTCTACGAAGACGATGCTTTAGACAGAATAAAAAATACAAGAAAACATTCGAAGCCTTGAGCAATAAATCTGATTATATGAATGTATACGAATGATATTCGCATAATCAGGTTACGGGGTTGAAATGTCGACTTTTGAAGAGAACGATTTAATTGTCGTGTTTACATAACATTATTTAGCTGAGTTTCAGTGACTATCATATGGTCAATCCTATTATATAATCTTAATTGTTTAATTACCTGATCGGTGACTTGAACTTGGAATCTCAAGCCGTCCTTTAGGTCAGGGTTTTCATAATCAAGAGGGACCAGACTCCTGAGCTCTGCACCATCACCAGCTGTTCGCCCTTCTATTTTCACCATCTGCCAGCCCCTCCCACTGTTGGGAGCTACCTGAAGGAAAATATGTAAAAACTGTTTGAAAATTTTAAAGAGACCATTGAAAGAAAGAATGAAATGTTCTTGCTTGTGTTATAAAGCTTGGAACATTTGTTGAAAGAAAGAATTCTGTTATTTTTCTCATAGTTTCAACTCTGCAGGCAGAATCTGAAGAATAGCAGGATTGGACATTACGAAAAAGTTTTTTATTCCTATCTCAACGCAGACGAAATGTCCAGCATGTTGCTTTAAAACTCTCAGAATAAAATAATGACATCAGTGGAGGACGGACACGGTTTCTCAATCCCATCATGTCAAATACAAAAAAATAAGGTAAGTTTCGGTCCCATATCATACGACTAGAAAAATGAAAGCGACAATTTACCCATCAGCCTTGAGCATTGACGCGAGGCCTTATTTGCGCATGATATTCAGTTACATTTGGGGCCTGTAGGAAAATGCATCGAAAATTTTCAGGTCACAGAATTTGAAAATTGAAGTTCAGAAATTGAAGAGATCTCAGTGTAATGATATTCAAGGCGACGGTTGGGAGTTGTATTATTGTGTAGGCAAATGTTGTGCGGAAATGCATTCATATATTTTTGCCTTGGCGTATTGAGAACTGAGAACCATTGGAACGAATTTTTTTCAACATAGATGCAAATGTGGCATCATTAATCAGCCCTAGAGCTACATAAAAGGTGGAGAAATGCGTCGAAGGAGGACGATGGCCGGGACATCTCCATGTTTGTCAGCCCACAACCAAGGCTTGTTTGTCAAAGTAATGAACTAAATTATCGAATAAATGCAACGTAAAATGGCATACCCTCCTTCAAGTTTTATTCCCGATTACATTATCACGTAGGAGAAAAACCCGAGAAAACTATCTAAAAAATGTAATAATTTCTATTTTTAATTACTCGTCAGATCTCTATGTTCATTGTATCAAAACTGCATAATTATTATTAAAATATTTATAGCATATCCCGAAAAACTGGGAACACTTTAATTCATGGTCATTACAGTTACAATGAAATCAAATTGCCGTAAATCCTTCGATGCAACTTCTTATTCTCTCCGAATTACTCGTAAAGAAAATTTCTTATAAATTAACGTATTCAAAATATTTATTATCACCAAATCTTTTAACTAATTTTAAAATTCAAATTCAGAGGGAAACTCATCATTTCGAGACCGCATTAAAATATCATCGCTTCATTTAATGTTGGCAGAAAATTAGTCTTCTCCTAACTAAACCGAGTCAAATTACTCGCATGATACAGATGACTCGTTTCTATAATTTAAAAATTGGAAACACATAAAAGTTACTCTTCGGTCAACTAATTTCGTGCAGTGAAATATTGTAGTTTAATGAAGAAATGAATACAAGCTAATTACGTATATGGTGCAATCGAAACTGTATTTGACTACAAACTTTCTCAACGGCCACTACAGTCATTAAGGCCTGCAACAAATTGGAATCAATTAAAGCTAATTATTGCTCATAGACCGAGCAGGCCTTGCAGAACTGAGCCTCTAAAGCCTCAGACATCGCGCACCAAGTTTAGTTTGAACATTGCTCAACATAATTATTCAAATGCGGTGCATCCAATCTCATTAAGGAACAGATTAATTTAATTCATAATCAACGTTCTGTCAGTGTTCATTAAATTAAACAATTCGGATGAGCAAATATATGAACGGCAAAAATTCTGGTAGGATTGAACAAAATCCACGGAGATGACTCCTAAGATTTAAGTATCTCTGCATACAAAAGTTGTTTTTTGTTGATGACATTCTCAGTAAATTGTTATACGGCTTCACCGTAAAAGAAGTTTACATTAGGCTGGCATTATTATGGTCTAGAATTTTGTCCTCCTTAACCTCTTAAAACAGCAAACTTGCTAGTCGAAGTAGGTACTGCAAAAAACATTCAGGTTGGTAGGAGCTTCAGTTGAAAGTGGTTAGTAATGTTAACATCCAAAAGAGAAATATAATTCCGAAAATATTCCTAAAATAACTTACGGAGATGACGGTAATAGTAAAGCAAAGACTCAAAATTGGACAATGAATTTGTACTAGTACTAGCTTATCGCAGAGGAACAACAGGCGAGTAATATGCAATGACCCGTAATTATAAAAAAGAACAGAAACTACAATGTCAGATGAGCAGCTCTGTGAAGTCAACTTTTCTTCATGAGTATAATAAGTTTAATAGGATACAACAGATATTTCTGATGAAGTGACATGAAGCAACGTAAATTACCCTGTAGGCCAAACTGTTGCGGGTGTCGGGGTCCTTAACAGTGAGGGTAGCGAGAACCTGGTCGAGGGGCGCGCCCTCGGTAACCTCGACTGTCCACTCCGCTCGCCCCCACCGCGGAGGAACGTCGTTCTCATCCGCCACTAACACCAAAACTTCACAGGAGCCTGCATCGGGTGAAAAATGGAGCCGGGTGAGTTGTGTTGGCAGCAGGAAAAGTTTAAAGTTATGAAAAACTTACGAATAATAGATACCGAATATAATTTTGGCGAAGAAACAGAGGAAAAAATAAAGATTTTATGAAAATATAGTTAAAAAAAATCATCATACACTATTTATAAGTAAGGAAATTATTCTTTTATTCTAAATAAGAAGACGCTCACAGTAAACGCCTGTCTGTCTTTAAAATAACTCTCAAAAAAGATTGCTATATAAATATCCAAATATCCACAAACAGCCTTTTTGCGGAATTTTTAAAATTCATGTAATAGAAAACGCTCTAAATTTCACAATGCAGTTCAAAAACAATTCAATGCGGAGCTCATATACAACGACGGTGGTTAGGAATTGAATGCAATCTTCATGTTTAACGATACATTATTCGAGTCATAAATACATATTATTCTTATTGGTAATGAGTATGGACGTGGAAATAAATCTTAGCAAATTAGTTATCCAAATATTTTCAATGTTAGTCATGGAGTGATTGTTTGAACTTAAAAAAGTGCAAGTAAATATACAGTTTATCATTATAATTCATTATAGTGAAATTTGTCATGTTATGAAAATCATTCATATTGGGCACTGGAAATACTTTTTGAAAAGTAATCTGTAAGCAGCGTTTAAATTTTATTTCACATTATCAGTGTGCAATTACTTTAAAATTAACATTCGCTGTTCCGTAAGATATATTTAGTTGAAGTAGACAATTACTAACCTTGCAATCCACCTCCATCTGTAGCAGCAACAGTTAGGCTGTAATGACTCGCACGTTCTCTGTCCAGACAACACATGGCTGTGCTGATACTGC